AATATAAATGAATCAAAACCGAATTTTTGGTTATCAAAGGGCATAGAAGTATAAGTCTGTCGCTTCGCTCCAGACAATGATTTCAGAATATTTTTTAGAATATTTGTTGAACAAACTTTTTTTATATACTTATTGGATGAGAAGCAGCCAATAACAGAAATTATTTGTAAAATAATTTATTATCTGACTGTTAAGATATGCCAGCTTCTGGGGCCCAGAAATGACATATTAAGTTCACTGCCAGATAAACGAGTTATCGGTAGGGTTAGCGATAGTAGGTTAGACTAAGAATCTTCTTAAATATCTATAATTGTTTTGATTATAGAAAAAAAAAACATTCGATTTTAGAATTTATATATTATATAGTACACTAACACAATCTTTAAATTATACGATAAAAATCGTATGATTTTTGTTTATAATAACAGTCGTTATTTCTATATACAGAAAAAACATTAATTAATTTAGTTAATCTACATATTTGTACGTACGTACATATGTATGTACGCACAAATGTACCTTGTAAAGTTAATTGCATTTGCCTTTAAATTTTTTTTTTTTTTACTATACGTATAGAGTTTGATTATTTACCCCATGAGTTATACTGACACGGGTACAGCATATTACGTAATGTTTAAACTTATCATTCATCATATGGAGAAAGGCGTCTAAAAATCAATAATACAGAAATAGAAATTAGATACTGTGTAATCTGATCTTTATTTCATAAATAGAATAGTATATTAGCGATCAAATATGCAAAGAACTTTAAGTATATAAAAAGTTCTTATCCCGAAACAAATAGTGCTTTAGGATATTTCCACTAAATATATTTCATTAGTATCCTATATTAATTCCCTAATATATAATTAGTTAAAACTAATCATAGCCAATTTCGATTGTTGAGAAAATGATTACCAAGAAAAATAACTCGGAAAATAAGACCACACTTTCTAATTTCCTTTTTTAATCTCAGATTGATGAGAATAAATGGGGTAAAGATTTATCGAGATTATATAAGCTGGACAGATGGTGTCCGAGTTTTAGGGTATATAGTTATTTATTTATTTGAGAAAAGAAATACTGATGCTATTAAGCAAAGTGAATATGTATAACTTAATCTAGATTATACTGGTTATTTTACTAACAGGTTTTTAGGTTGCGATTTAAAGACACGATACCAACAATAGAAAATGCCTGGTACTAACGCTAATACTTATTTTGATCAACATACAATACCGATACACGTTATCTCTCATACGTCTTAGATCTGTAGATATAATATGCTAATCCAGAAATGCAAAAAAAATTGCAAATCATTGAAACTTTAATCAAGACAAAAAACCGGTATACATGCAAATTTAGAAACTTCTAGACTTACAAGTAATAAAATCACGCCACATTTTTATTCTTGGTACGTAATAACTACGGTAGTCAAATTAGAAATACATCAAAAGTTAGGCCAATAATCACATAATATAGAAGTACTTCATAAACACTTAAAGACCACACTCTTCGTGAAATTTTCAATATCACTCCGTTCCCAATATGGCTGCAGCATTCCTTAACGATGTATCTGATGATTTTAAAAAATTATACGAAACTAAAGAAGGTCATGATGCTATTATCATTGCTGGAAAAGAACCAAATGTCAAAGAATTTCAAGTTCATTCTTTGATTCTTCGTACTAGATCATCTTATTTTCGTTGTGCATTTTCTGATAATTGGGCCGAAAAAAACGATGATGGTCATTTAGTTTTAAAAAAACCTAATATTAGTGCATTAGTCTTCGAAATTATACTCAAGTAAGTAACAAATTATTAATAATTTTTTATGTTCTTAATTCTATTGTTGATATATAATATAATTTATAATATAATTAATTCTACATTTCACATTACCAAATAGGTATCTATATTGTGGAATAGTTGATTTTCAAAGTCAAAATAATGAAATAATCTTAGAACTTTTAGTTGCAGCAGATGAATTTGGAGCTCAAAGACTTATTAATTTAATTCAAGAATTTTTAACCAAAAATTGTTATCAATTCTTACGTTCAGATCCTATTAAAATACTTGACCTTGTTATCTGTCATAATGCATTCGATAATCTCAAAAGTGTTTATATAGAAACCTTTAATAAATATTGCAAAAACTTTTTACGTCAAGATCCCATTAAAATACTTCATTTTATTATCCGTCACGAAATATTTAATGAATTTAAAAAAATTTCTTTAGAGATTATTTGTGAAAATCCTGATTTATTATTTAATTCAGATGAATTCTTTTCATTAGAAAAAGATGTATTAATATTAATTCTTAACTGTGATGACCTTGATATGAAAGAAATTGATATCTGGAAGCTATTGGTTAGATGGGGAACTGCTCAACATTTAACCTTTCAAAATCAACGTTCGACACCTCAAATTCAATATTCAACATCTCAAAGTGACGTGACAAAATTTACACTTGAAGATTTTAAGACATTAGAAAAGATATTACATGAATTAGTTCAACTTGTTAGATTTCATCAAATAATTGGTAAAGAGTTCGTACTTGAAGTATGGCCATTTAGGCACCTCCTTCCTGATAATCTAATCGAAGATGTATTACGTTGCTATCTAATTTCAGACACCGCACCATTATATAACGCATTTCCTGTCAGATTAGGCAATATCAACGTTAAAATCGATTCTGTTATAATTAATAAAAAGATCGTACTATTACTTACAAAATGGATAGATGGAAAAACTATAAATGATAAAAGTTCAAAAGAAACTCGTTATAAATTTAATCTTCTTTTTCGAAGTGGACATGGATTTTTTGCTCGAATATTTTATCAAAAGTCACACAAAATATTTCATCAAAAATGTGATGATAAAGGGGCAACAATTGTTATAGCAAGAATTTCAGGTTCAAAGATGTTGATTGGTGGTTATAATCCACTTGATTGGAATGGAAATAATATATGGAAACAAACAACAGATAGTTTCTTATTTTCTTTAAGTGATCTTAATAATCCTAAAAGTGCAAAATTAGGACGCGTTATTAATAAAACTTATGCTATTTATTGTGGTAATGATTATGGTCCAACGTTCGGAGGTATCAATTTATTCGATCCAAATAACAGGGGTAATCGGGAACATTATGATTCCTATCCTAACATTGGCATTCCGACTTCATTTGAAATCTCAGATTATGAAGTATTTCAAGTAGTTAAGAATTAGTATAAAAAATCCCTTTATAAATAGTATATATAAAAATTCATTTCTAACATTATATATCAATATATGAAAAATAAAATGGGGGTCGAACAAAAAATTGATCTTAATAATTGTGGTTATGCAAAAATACCCTTCTTGATGGATCGTCGGTACTGTTCCTGATAGGGTAAGAAATAAATATTGATTTACATACCGTTTTCTGATATTACTATGAGGATTAGAGTGCGTCTATCAGGAACAGTGTTAAAATAAATTTTTTTTTTAACTCTATCAAGACGGAACGGTATTTTTGCTGTTGTTATAGATAAAAATTGAAATTTTGACCTATTTCGATTATGAAAATTTAAAGTTTTCTTTAGCATAAGTTAATATTTAAGGTTAATGTTGTTAATAAAAAGGTATATGTGGCTTTATAGTTAGCGTAGCAATTCTTGAACGTGTGCTAGGTTTGCGGCGCAGTAAAAATTCTTTAACCATAGCTGCGTTCCGGCAGATCCTCAATTTTGATTGGCTAACTGATCATATATATGTACATCGCAGAATCCAATAATGCTAGTTGAGTTTTTCATCGTGCCGGTACTATATATCACGTATGAAATCCATGTTACTGCATGAATGTAATTTTCAACCCTAGGTAAAATTAGCCCAGGAACAATTTTCACTTAATGGGCCTTGTGATTTCATTTGTAAAATGTAGAGTAATTCCTAGCCAACCAAAATCGAGAATCTGCCAAGACAATTTTGTTGCGGCAGCTAGAGTTAATATATAAGAGAATAAGATTTTAAGTAGTTTAACCACCTGGTTAAAAACGTGATCTATTCAATAGAACTAGCTAGTCACTACATTAGATCGACACAGAATTTTCATGCTAGGGTTGGAGATTTCTTATGCTGATTTTTGAGAAGTAAGCGATTTTGACAAACGGGCGTTGTTTTGAATTTTCTTGATCTCTTTATGTTACGCCTGATCTTGAAATCTGATTCATAGTTCAGGAAGTCTGCGCCACAAACCTGGCATCACATTCAAAATTGCTGGTTTCTATCGCTATAACATTATTTGTGTCTAATTAATCAATACTACAATATATATGTAATTAATTAGATACGCATGAAATACACTGGCGATCATAAATAATGCAACAAAAAAAAAAATTTAGTCGGATCGTATTATCTCACTCAATTCCGGGCGTATTTGTTAAATTTTTTTTTTATTGTATTCACAAATACTATCTTTTTTAGATAGCAAAATTTTAATAATCGTTATTATTACCAATGCGAAGATAATTGTGAATTTATTACAAATCACGTGTTGCATTATTTTTGATCGTTTTTGACAAAGATCAGATCGCGTGAGTTGTGCCACATAAAACATATAAAAATGGAAGTTTCATTGTTGATTCTGCATCTTGTGTAATGTTAGAATTGCTTACAAATCAAAAAAAAAAAAAGAACCATACAACTTCCGCCAAACAAGCCCAAATATTGCTTTCTCTTCAAAAAGGGTATACCACAAGAGCAGTAGGTCGGACCCACCATGTTAACTTTTCCACAGTCTCGTGAATTAGAAAAAAATGCTTAACAAACCACACACTTGAAGATTTAGGAAGGGTTGATCATCCAACTTTGTTGGATGAACCAACCCAAAGAAGAATAGTAAATTTAATTACCTCCTGTTGCTGCTTTACCACCGTTGAAGTGAGGACCCACCTCAAAATAAATGAAGATATTGAAATTTCGGTGTCTACTATTTGGTGGATATTTCGAAACCATGGTTTAGTGTTGGGAATAAAAAAAAAAAACCTTACCTAAGTGATAGTCATCAAAAAACGCGACTCACTTTTGCAAAAAAATATGAAAAATGGACCATCAAAGATTGGTCCAAGGTAATTTGGTCGGATGAGTCAAGATTCCAAATTTTTGGATCGGATGGTAAGCAGTACTATTGGAAGCGTCATGGAGAACCGTTAAATCAGTTCCATGTAAAGCCCACTATGAAATATGGTGACAGATCAATTATGATTTAGAGTTGCTTTACCTCTCACGATGTCGGCAGCTATTGTAAGATCGATGGTACATTGGATATGGATCTGTACCTAAAGATACTCGGTAAAGATTTGATGTGGATGATTGAGGACCATGGATTTGAAGTCGGTGAAGTTGTTTTTTAACAAGATGGAACATCTTGTCATACAGCAACCTTGACCAAACATTGGCTTACAAGGAAGAAAATAAAGTTTTTCAACTGACCTCCCCAATCGGCTGATCTAAACCTGATCGAACACTTGTGGAATGAAGTTGATCATCGGCTTAGGGACCTCCCTGGTCAAATTTCAAGTGAAAAAGACCTCTGGGAAAAAATTCAGATGGTTTGGCAGGCAATCGATGTTGAAACCTGCATGAGGTTAATTCGTTCAATGCCAGAACGAATCCGTGATGTAATTAGAGCCCGGGGCGGCTACACCAGATGGTGATAGCTGAAAATTATTAGAAAAAAAAAAAATTTTTTAGTTTTACAATCGTGTTGCTGTTAAAACGAGCAAAAATAATGCAACACGTATATTGAAATAAAGCTCGTGCCCCCCAAAAATTTTAATCATTAAATTTTTAAATCCTTTTTATTAATGATAATATTGCTATTTGCGAGTAAAATAAAAAAAAATTTAAGAAATACGCCCGGAATTGCGTGAGATAATACCATCCGACTAAATTTTTTTTTTTGTTGCATTATTTATGATCGCCAGTGTATATGTAATAAAAATAAAAATTTATACGTAATAAAAAATAGGTTGTATATTTATTTTCTTGAAATTATTGTCTATTAACAAAAGTTTTTTCTACAATGAATACGAACAAGCACAATTCAGTTCGAAATGATTTTTTTTACTCAATATCTGAATTAAATTACAACATCAATCAATTACACCCTTTTACTTCCTAACGATTATAAAAATTACTTAAAGAGCGAAATGAAATTATTACCTCTCAAGAAGTTAATGATAGTCAAAATGATTCATTCGAATAAGAAAATTTTCTCTCTAATCAGCCTAAAAAAGACGATATAACAAGTTACGACATGTTTCGAGATGTAAAATTGAATTAAGGCAAGTTTCAACATGTATAAAATTGAGTTATGGCATACAACATGCCATAAATTAAGGCAAAAAGGCATAACTAGTTATAACTCAGTTACATTACAATGCTTCATGTTATGTCTGCGCAATGTAGAATGATTAGAAAACTCAACTGGCTACAAATAAATTAAACCTGATTATTATTTGTAACAAAAAGAAAATAATTTGCGTAATGAATTTATCTATTAATGAATGTACTTGTTATAAGACTGTAAAGAACCAGAAACAGAACTGCCAGTAGTTGTAATAGAAGTTGCATTCTTTTTCCGCGCCAGATTCTGTATCAGTTTTATCATCGGAATTCAGTATCTTAATCTTCCTAGATGATTCATCTGATTTTGAGTTTCAAGACACATCTAACAGATAATATCAATGACGTAAGTGAGTTTTAGTAGTAGAACAAAAAAAAAGAAGATAGCACCCCTTAAAAATAAATATAAATTAGCCGGTATAAGTCAGGAGCTCGCACCAGTCACTGAAAAGTCTTGTTATTTATGTTGTAAATCAAAATTTTCAGGCGTAGAAGTATGAATCTGTCACTTCGCTCCAGACAATTCGATCTGCTGTACAGACGACTTTTTCAATAAGTCGTCTATAACACAAAATTTGGCTTATAAAACCACTTGCTGATTCTTAACAAAAATCAATTTCTTCCAAAATTTTACTATACGTGGTACTTTTCCTAACACCATTCTAATGCTCACCCTTATCTTAACGCTAGGGTTCAGGGCATGGGAAAAAAATTGGGCATGCCCATATGGGCATGCCTCTGAGCTAAGGCATGCCCTTTTTAAATCATATGATTAACATATAGTTTAAAAATCTTACATGTTGATTGAGTATCTACAGTTTTAGTTTACCTGAACTTATTAGCCAATTAAAATAACTTTAAACATCACATGACAAGGGCATGCCCTTTGGACTTGAGGCATGCCCCTGTGCCCTGAACTCTACTTAACGCAGATCATCATAGGATATGGTTTTGATTTATTATTCATAAGTTAAACCTGGTTTTAATCAATTTAAAAAATGTGAGAAATAAAATTGATTCCAAACTCTATCACGGGACTGCAAATTTTGTCTTCAAAAAAATATGTTTGACGATCCTGTTTTGATTTATTTGCTATTAAAAATCCACTTTTTTAATTTTAATATTATATAAAAAAAAAACTATTTATAGCTTGGATATTATCTTAATTGTTAATCTTTAGAGGAAGTATCACATTTAAAATTTTCACCGATTTTTTACTTTCATTATGTACTGATCAAATATAGTTTAATGACAAAATGTACACATAAGTTTATCATCTCTAACAAAATCACGTTTTACTGTTTTATGTAATTTTTTGGGGCCCATTATTAAAATAAAAAAAATCATATATATATATTTAAGCATTTATTTTACACCTTAACTTACTACTAAAGCTCTATTTAATTTTAACATACTACTAAAAATATATATCGCATTTTAACATACTACTAGAAACCACGATTCGTCAGCTCTATATATTACTAATCAGTTTATATAATAATCAAATATACAAGCAGGATCAACAATCCTATACGTAAAATGAATACATGTGACATTGTAATAAAAGTTATTAATGGATAATATAGCGAAACAAATTTTATAATAATTGTTACAAAAGTTTAAACAGATGCACGGTTCTAACAGTTCGATAGTTTTGAATAAAATTTTGCAAAAACTAGTGTTAAGTCTTTACAAATAAATCTATAGAGCCATTTCTTTATTTAGACACGAAAAAAAAATTAATATACTATGTCATTTTTTTCTTAAAGACAAAACTTAATTTAGTTTCTTTTCTAAAGAAATGACTTTATAGTTTTGTTCGTAAAGATATAACATTGGCCTTTGCGAAATTTTAATCAAACTATCAAAACGTTAGGGCTGTACATATATTTGAAATTTTTGTAGTAATTATTATAAAATTGTTACTTAACGATCTAACGATCGCTATCTAAAAAATATTTATTAATAAATTTTATTATAGGTTGTCGATATTGTTATGATTATACAAGAGCAAATAGGCACTCCTGAATCTATTTTTTTTATATATTATATTTGTGTTTGATCTTGTTAAATTAAAGTTAGGTTTTGTATTAGATTAAGTTAAAGAGTTCGTGAAAAAAGCTTTTTATTAATGTGCAAAGATAGTTTGTGATAGAATGCATACATAGGTATCTAAAACAGATAGTATATTGAAATGGTTTTAATACTTTTGCCATAGTGTTTCAAAATGTCATCTGTCGAAATTAATTTTGCCTTGCCAGCGAAATTAATTTTAATTGACAAAATTATTTTAACCTACTAAAATTTGAAATTATTTTCGTTTGCTGAAATTTTTCGTCTGCTTGTTAAAAACATTGATATTATGTAAATGAATTAGATAATAATTTATGTAAACAATATAAATTTTTTAACTGTCATTTATTCCTAAATATCATTAACTATTTCCAATTACATACGACTTTATAGTTAGTTGTGTTGTTATTCATCTTGGTTCCTTAAACTGTCCACTATCATTGTAAAGCTTGAAATATGCTGCAACACAGGGCGTTCTCGAACGCTTTAATCAATGGGTTAAAAAGTGTTAGTGAATAAATTTTACTTGGCAGAAAATATTCTAAGAAGTCAAATGTGTTTATTAATGTAATGAATATTTAAATAAACGTCATAATTAATATATTTTATTAGTAAAAAAATAATACATGAGCATATAATTTCAATTTATAAATTAAGGCCGACCTTTTTTTTTTTATCCTTGGCTTAGTAAAGTTTACAATTAATTGTATTCACAAAGATAGTACAGGTAACCTAATAACGTTTTTATAACGAGATTTGATGGATCTCAAGTATCAATTAAGTGTCAATTACAATTCTTATGTTGATTGATTATAGTAAATGAGCATTGTATTAGCTAATCGCATGAATATCAAATATATAATTATAGTTGTGCTCGATTACAATCATGAACTAATCACATCGAGATTGAGGCTTGAGAACGGCCATAGACTGCAATTAATCTAGTTCAAACATAAGTCACTAGTACCAATTTGTAAGAAAATATCTTGCAAGACGATTTAAGGAATAATGATTAGATAAAGTTGTCTCGAATAGATATGTATGTATGTATGCGTACGAAAAACAGTACGTAGTAGTAGATATTGCATTTAATATCAGTGATTAAGGCTTTTTACTACTTGAATTAGCCTCAAATAGGCACACATGCAAACATAAAGTTCGGTTAACATTTTCTGCATTTTGTTATTAGCTTACTTCAGTACTTTAATCATTTTAGGTCAATTAGTTCAGTTAACCCTTTGTTGATAATATTTATCAATCTCTGAGCTACATACTATAATTAGATATTCACAAAGCACAATGGATCGAGGCAAATTATTGATTTAGATGCAATTGACTAATTTGGTCAGTTTTTAATTACTGACTAATTAATATTTGGACCCGATCCATGGAGTTATAATTGATGCATCAATAAGATCATTGTACCAATAAGTGTCTGTACTATTCTGCATTAGCAAATAGTATTTCATAGCACATTATGCACTTGGAAGATTGTTGTATCTTTTACTAGTGATGTCGTCCTAAATGATATTACGATTTAAGCCAAACTAGTTAAAGCTACGTCATCGTTACATAATAATTTCGAGATTATAATTGATAATTCGACTAAAGGTAGAACATATTATTTCATAGATGTCGTGAAGTAGTTACTCAATTTTCATATTACTTTAAGAAATTTTGACCTCAAAAATAATCTCAAGCATCTCAAACAGTGGATAAAACAGAGTTATCATTTTGATGAAGCTGTACTGTAAACCTTTTTTTAGAGTTATTCAATCTGGTTAAATTTAAATTCTCATTTTCTCAATGAATTTTAAGCATACGTATTGTTCGAAGAACACATCATTTTTAATTCACAGTAATTAATTACAATTAGGATAGCTGCATAAATTAGTAATTAATAAACCAAGAACGAATTACAGGAGTTTTTTTTTTTTTTGACTACGTTTGGAAATACGTAATTAATCACAAGTATAATAAGACCAAAATGATTTGCATTGTTTTGCATAATGAATTCAACAGTATGTCGTCAAATTATATTCATAATAATAATATAAGGAAGTCATAGTGTTAACCGCCAATCGTGGCGCAGCCACACGATCTTCCGACCTCATAATCACCTATTGAGTTTGTATACAACATTCTTAAAATTTTTGTATACCATAACAGAAAGAAATATTTCACGAAAATTTATAGTACTACACTATATCGATATAAACATATAAAATTTAGCAATTGATTGTCTGGTAGATGAGAATCGATCTGTAACGGTAAACAGATTTACAAACTAAAAATATGATAATCATAACGCTAAAATCGTGATCATATAAATTAGACAATAAAGTGAAATGAAACAACTATCTGCATTGTTTTACTTCAACCTTCAATTTTTTATTATAGTGCAACCTAAATGATCTTTTTTAAATACACATTGCCAAGAGTTTTGTCCTAAGGGGTGCATTTGGATGTTTTCTGCAATCCTTTATTTAATGTATGTATAATAGAAATACAAGTAAGAAAAACAAGTAAGAATAATAATGTAAGAAATACAAATAAGGAATAAAAAAAAAAGGATTAAGGAAAAAAAAACAAATTGCATTCTCGATTGGTGTTAAAGTTGGATTTACTGATCAAGCATGTAAAGATATTAACGCACAAGACATTTTTGCAGCGAAAATGCTATAGCATGTATTATACTGCAAATACACAATGATGTAACGGCGTATAGAAAATTTTCTTATAAAACCATTTCAAAAGCTCTTTCACTCTTTCATCAAAAAATTCCCTTTTTTACATTAATTCATTTTATCTTTCATTACATAGAAAATATGAAGTCTAATTTAATTTCTGTCACCGTTTTTTTGTCTATTACATTATTTGCACAATCTACTGTAAGCTTACCATTACAAGCAAGACATGATGTATTGCCTTTGACAACTCCAACACCAGCACCTTTACCACCTTCACTACCCCATGTGCCTGGTACTATTACATCCCATGCGCCTACTACATCCGACGAAGACTGCGACGATGTTACATCCAATGTACCTGAAGTCGGAGTTAAACCCAAAGTACCTGGTGATAAAGGTAAACCAAACTTACCTAAACCCGACGAAAAACCTGGTGATAAAGGTAAACCAAACTTACCTAAACCCGACGAAAAACCTGGTGATAAAGGTAAACCAAACTTACCAAAACCCGACGAAAAACCTG